TGCAAAAGTTTAGAAATGTTAAGAGGAATGACTAAATCAAGTAGAAATCAATATGTCCACCCACTATCCACAATGATATGAACTATAGGCCTATGGCGTTTCAGTATTTCTGTAATAAAGAATCATTGAACTTATTGTTAATATTCTTTTTTTTGAGAGGTAATATTTGCCAGAGAATTGGACAATTGACAAAATTGTTCGTTTTCACAAACAGCGATGTCAATCATTATTGAGGAATAACTTTTCTCGGTGTATTCAGAAAAATATTTACCTCCATTATCAAAAAGAGACCTTTTTTTCTGGGCGAATTCTTTTCATAAAATGAGTGCGTCGCAAGCGGGCTTGAGAAAGATTACACTGCAACTGACAGTGCTTTTATCCTACAGTCTATATATTACAGATATCTATCAGTAAAGGAGGGAAGAAACAAGCTTTATTTATAGATTTGTAGGCATATTAATATTTTTTGACAATATCACAAATGTATAAAAAATACTGAGTCAAATTAAAAACTTCACATTTTTAAAAGTAATCCCATTTATGATATACAACGGACAAATGTATCAGAGAAGGTAATTTTTAATCATTAATGTCCAAAGAAGGATTTTAATTAACGGTGGTAACCATAATTTGTTCCAAGCACCTACGGTATTCGGTAATAAGCACGAGAATCTGATGGCACACAAGTTCAGTAGCGTGTATGACCACCATGTGCGTTGACAACTGCAACACAACGCCTCCGCATGGACCTTGTGATGCTTGTGAACACATGATTGGGAAGACGACGCCATTGTTGCTGCAAAATGATGCTAAGATCTTGCAAATTCTATGGTTGGTTCTGGAGAGTGCGCAAACTTCTGCCAAGAACATCCCAGACGTGTTCGATGGGATTGAGGTCGGGAGACCTTGACGGCCAGTCCATGACGTTTACTCCCGCATTCTGAAGGACATTCCTTGTCAAAACTGCTGTGTGGGGTCTTGCATTGTCCTGTTGGAAGATCAAACTGGGTCCATGTGCTGCCATAAAAGGCAGAAGTTCTGGTGCCAGTACCTGGTCGCGGTAGGCAGGAGCGTTGAGGTTGCCACGGATGACAAGAAGCCTGGAACGTGCATTGCCACAGAAAGCACCCCACACCATGACAACTTCCGCCTCGAAATCTGTCAACTTCCTGTACACAACACTGGGCGTAACGTTCATGACGGCGCCTCCATTGTAAGTGTCTCTGTGCCCACGTTGACATCTGTGTAATTGAGTCAGAATCGGCCCGCAGTATGGTCGTCGTGCTTGAAGGTGAGCAGTTCTGAGACGGTTTCGAATAGTTTGCGCACTCAGTCTACCCCTAAACAGTTCATTTCTGGTTGATGTAGCCGTCGAAAATCGGTTACGGAGGTGACGTAAGACAATCTGACGATCCTCTGCATGTGACGTCACACGTGTTCGACCTGGCCGAGGGCGATCAGCGGTGGTACCCGTTTGCTGTAGACGCGTCTGTAAATCATAAACAGTCCGTCAACTACAACCCATCGTCCTTGCGACTTCAGCTACGGACGTTCCCGTCTGCAACATGCCGATGGCACGTTCACGTTGCACATTTCAAAGGCGTGGCATGACAAATGGCCGTAAAGACTTTTGTTTTCTTGTGTTTTCTTTTTTTGTTATTGACTGCTTACAAGTATGGCTGAAAACACGTGCGTTATTATGGCCACGTGACCAGTTGCACGTGAAAAAACACTTTTGCCACTATAGTGCTGTGCACATGATTTTGATTCACCTGCACAAAAACGGGTGTTATCTGAAGACAATACGTGGCCATTACTGTTTAAATACACAATAAGGGCCCACAATGATAACTGGTCAAAATGTTAAAAGTTTAGGATTGTGAAGTTTTTAATTTGGTTCAGTATATTTACTTTACACAAAAAGTCCGATTCTTTTGTATGGAACAGACATTTTGGGCCTAGAACATTTGGATGTTATTGAAAAGGTACATTACATTTATTTGCATTTTAATCTAACATCTTGGTAGTAAAATCTTGGACACAAAACGCAAGGGTACACGGTGATTGCGGAATGTTTCACATGTATATCTGTACTTATTTAAAGGTTATGAAATATTGTGTCAAGTTATTAATTTTGCCATCTGCAAGATAACCCAGAAAATGTTTTATGATGCATCTCTGCGACAAGGGTCTATCTCGATTTCGTTGAAGTTCACATGATCTATTTATTGAAACAGGTAGACATGTATCTACTTAACGAGAACAATTGCCTTTGTAGAATTTGTAAAAATGATTTATTGAAGATGAATATAACTTTTTTAGGTGTATTTCCAGTGTATAATTTCAGAGCAGAATATCTTAATAACAATTTCTACCACAATCCAAATACTCACACGCAAAAGAAACGCAAGTGGTTTTAAGCAAATAGGTAGGAACCATAAATTGATACGAGTTTTAGCATGTAGTGAAGCCTGATGGTGTTATCAATATGTTTGGTTGCATTTTGGAAGCCCGAGTAAAACCGCAACATAAAAAAAGAATCGCCAAAACGCAACATTTCAATGAATATGTGGGTATCATGCACCCATTTCTCGCGAAATCGAAATGCACGAACTGTCACGAACTGTAGTGGGTATAAGACTGTGGCTGATTCTTGGACCTACCACTCCTTGGTCAACAATGCCACGCCAAACTCAAATTCAGAGAAACTAGGCTATCGGACGTTTGGAAGCTGGAGAGTCTGTCCAAGATGTTGCCCGTTATTTCAACGTTAACATAACCACAATTTACCGTCTCCTGCATCGATACAATGCTACACAGACCACAGATGACCTTTCTCGGAGCTGTCGTCCTAGGGTCACCACACCTCGACAAGATCGGCAGATTACCCGTCAACACCAGCGACATCCGTTCCTAACTGCAAGTGAAAGTGCTCGACAGACCTTAGGAACACATTATCAACACATTAGCCGGGACACTGTGATCCGACGTCTCCGTTCCAACAATCTTAGATGTCGCCGACCAGCACGTCGTCCTGTTCTCCAACCACGGCATCGACAAGCACGACTTCAGTGGGCACAGGGTCATCGCATTTGGCGTCATCGTGAGTGGAGGCGTGTCATCTTCTCTGATGAAGTCGCTTTTGTGTCTCCCATGCAGACGGAAGAGTCAGAATTTGGCGGCGTCGAGGTGATCGTTTAGCTGAAAGAAACGTTGTGGAAAGGGATCCATGGGGTGGACCTATCGTCATGATATGGGCAGGGATTGGACTTAATGCGAGACTTGGACCCATGTGCTTTCTGAATGTTGGTCAAGGTCGGGGACAAGGCATCACTGCTCAGCGGTATATCGACCAAGTGATCAGACCCCACGTTGTTCCATTTTTTGCACAACATCAACAACACATTTTCCAGCAGGACAACGCTCGTCCCCATGTTGCCAGAGCTACCATGGCCTTTCTGCAACAACACAACATCCGTGTTCTACCATGGCCAGCCCTCAGACCTGATCTGAACCCCATCGAACACTTGTGGGATGAGGTTCAAAGGCGTCTGCACAATGTGCACCCAGTCCCTACAACTGCCGATGAACTACGCACAGCTGCTCTGAATGTGTGCAGGAGGATCCCTAGGGCCTTCACAAATCGTCTGATCCACTCAATGTACAGGAGATGTGTGGCAGTGATCAATGCTAATGGTGGTCACACCAGGTATTGACTGACATTTATGGTATTGACCCGAAACTGTGTAAGCCCTTAACATTTGAAAAAACAACAATTATGTCATCTGCCTTTTAATCCATTAAACTGTCTTCAGTCAAATTTTTGTCAATCTTGCCCTATTAGTATTTCTTGTCTTTACTGTTGAAAATAAAAAAAACATGTATACTGCATACTCGACTTGCGTTTCTTTTGCGTAAATGTTCATTTACCATCCTATGAAACTTAGATAGTGTATGAATTTGTAACACACCCAAGACTACCCAAGACTTTAGGTTTTTGGCTCATCAGTACCATGATTCATGATTAACTGAAATCATTGTATCAAAGCACATGATTCATATATATACTTGTTTAAACAAACACCTACATTTAACCTACTTAAAGAGCAGCTCACACAACACACGCCAAAAAAACCTGATTCCATGTATTACAACACGAACATTCTTCAACACATTTTGGTCAAATTGTTAAGGTAACTGTTTAGTTTTGCGTAGCGTGTATGCATATTACTGTGTATATTAGTTATAGAATCGTGACATTCTTATTTAGTTATATGCAACAACAAAACAATATAAAAATAAACACAATCATAAAAAAGAAATCCATACTATCGCAATAACATGCGATAGTTAGAGAAGAAAACATATTTTCCATAATGAAAAATAATAACGAGAGATGAGTAATAAAATTGTTGATTATAGAAACATTATGAAAATATGTATGTTTAATGGAATGAATATCCTCTATTATGTAACCTCTATTCTATTACAGATCTCATCCTACATATTATATACTTGATAAATGCATGAGTCAATACAAGTTTCACCTGATTCATTTCATTTTACTTAAAGGCGACAAAACCTTTTCCATATTCATGAAAAATCTCTGCTGAGAGCAGAGTCGATAGTACGAATCCGAATACATAACACGAACACGTGTTTATGAGCACATGCTAAACTCATACATAACTACAACGTATCAAATACATATTTTCTAACTTTTAAGAAATCTCGTTACACTATTGCAATTTCTCAAAATCAATCCATACTAAACTAAGATGTATTAAGCAAACTATAGCTTCAAATATCGAAGATAAAATTGCCTCACTATAGAGGACATGGGTAACCAATGGTTTATTGTATTATTATGCAAACACACAATCCGGACTCCATCCACCATTTGAAGAACTGTTTTCAGAGTCACATTGTGACAAAATGTGCCCATATTAACTATATCCATCTGGCACCGATCACATGGTATAAAATACTAAAAGAAAACCAAGTTTGCCTCAGAATTTATCAAAACAAACATTATATTTTTACATCAACAGTATCTTGATACAGTGTTACTCCACTCAGCGTGAATGATGTTTAACAAATCTTAGGCTAGAGTAGCCCCGAGATCTGCAGGCTTAAAGGATACATCTAAACAGGATTGGGTGGTTACTGAATGCACGTCAGAGTTCTCATTGCTCCCGCTGTCAGCCAGTGATGTGTCTTTTGTCAGCTTCCACAACTATTTACAAGCAACTGAACACTGTGGAATACATGTTGACCACAGTGTAAAATAACTTTCCATGCAATGTTCGTGTTTGACGTTGCTGTTTAAGAAGGATTTTCAAGAAAAAAAATTTGGTTCATTGACTAGATCTCATCAAAATACATTCAAAGATATTCATGAGCATGCAACATCCTGAAGACTGTTTATCTAATAGGTGACCCCTGTTCTTTCATCTTACAGTAGGAGTCTACATCAACATTGTTATTGATTCATTACACACATGTTCTGAGTACCAATCAAACGTCTGCATATATGCCTCAGGAATTCGATGTTAGCGTGCACAACATAATATATTCGTACAGAAAAAAATCACACCCCTATATACATACAGACAAATAGTGACACCCGCAGTGATTTCACACTCGGTTCATATCAAAGCTCCTCCATAATGCATTAATTAAAAATTACCATTTTTTTTCAACCTATCAGCACTTGCTAAACAAATCCTTGCCTACAACATCGTACTCATCTGTGGTCACCTTACCTTGTATTTATTTTAAAGCAGCCATCAGATCTCAACCCTATGCTTTGCCGCAAAGGTAAACAAGAAATGAGGCTGATAATTACAACACGTCACGAGCATGAACGCAGCAAACGTTTCTGACAGGTTAAAATTAAAAAACAAAGTGGATAATATTACCACATCGTAAAGGGAAATTAAATACCTTCAATCATAAGTCTAGTTACAAAATGTTTAATTATGCTTTAGTTTTCCTTGTCAACCCAAAAATTTTGCAAGCAAGCTTATCATTGATGGTTTTGAATTTTCCATTCAAAACGAGTTCCTTTGATGTATACATTTCGAGAAGTCTTTAATTGTTCTTTACCTCCCGGAGTGGGAGATGCCTGGAATTAACTCCAATACTTGAGATCTCATCTTCACCAGTATCGGTATATCGATAGTTGATGAAGTGCTAAGGCCACAAGTAGATAATCATGTGTTCATCATGAATTGTTTCCGAATATTAAAAGCAGATGAAGCTGATAACCAGAACAGGATCAGAAACCATTTCTAGAGGCTCCTACACACCAATTCCTATATTGAGTCATTGTTATTGATGCATTACACACAAATATTTGATGTCTTTACTCTTCACCATAACACGACCATATCCAGGTCTCTCTACCCAATCAGGGACACCTCGAAGATATCACGATATGGACACGATGCAGACTGAATGACATAGCCTGAGATCACAACCATCATTTAGACATGACCAATGTGATAAAATTATTTCATAATTTTAAACGTCAGGTACGTGTTCAGACGTATTTGTGTACAAGAAAATATACGACTTTCTCACGTAGACTCAAATACATCATGCTTAAAGACACGTGGCAACAGCAAGAGAAGACACAAAGTGTATACAATTGTATCTTCATTCAAGCCATTTTGTGTCATTCGTACGATAAAACTCCAGATGCAAGCAGAACTATCTGAATACAATTTACAACTACATGTCATGACGAGAGATGACGAGAATCAATTTTCAACTATTCCTCTTTTTTGGTCTAATGGTGCTCATTATTGCCGTTGGCTGACACATATTCGTCTCCCGCCTCGTGGTGTACGTAGGAAGTCTCTATTGCGCATGACGGGTTTCGCTCCACCATTGCGTCGTAGTCTGGAGTGTTGGGGATACAGCGTGGCTTCTCCGCGTTACCGTATCTAACCACCCGGGCCCCCTTCTCGGGATGGTGGCTGTCCTTGTACTCCACCCTGATGGAGTCACGTGACTGGGAGGACGGACACTCTTCGAAATAGTTGTAGGGAAGCAGGGCGAAGCTGAGATGTGCCCCGGGGGTGGGGGTGATGGGCATGTCCTCGGTGTGGGGGATGTGATGGACACCCATACTGATCCATGCCACCAGGTCCTGAAACATTATTAGGATTTCAGTTATGATTTTGGTGACATGCGAAGTCGATCCGGTGATGGACGTTTAGCAATTAGTCCACTCCGCTCCACATGGTGATAAGGGCAGGATTACTACTAACTGGCGGTTTACAACATCTGAACTAGTAATTAACTAGAAAGGTGTTTGCATGACACATTTTGTTAGTGACCAAAAATTAAACCACAGCTGACCTCACCAACGTCTGTATTTATAATATAATTGTTAGGTTTCTCAGTAGTATAAAGCCAATGGATAAAAACGGTATCTGTTGGGGTCATTTGTGGATAAGTATTCATATAAAAGGTCGGTTAGATACTAATTTCAGTTTTCACAAACAAATATGCCGTCGCCATTGTGTATCAAGGTTCGCTAAATATATTGTTTATTCCTGAAACAGGATATTTACCATCCCAAAACACACACCCGTGATAACTTCTCTAAATTCATCTTTGATAAATAATATGGTCTAATGCAGTACGCCCTCAAAACAAGCACTTCTGGTTGAATGAAATAACCTTCTCTTTGGGAAAACATGTGCTCAAATACAGTAGAAGTTTGAAACAGTCCAATGACAAAGGTATCAGCACTCCCGGTTAATGAAGACAAATGTCCTATACAGTAAAGACAAATTTATAAACACTTCCGGTTTAATAACATCAATTCCTGATTGAAAGTCCTTTGTAGAAGAACTTTGAAACAGGAATTCCTGTGCTTCTAGCTACATTAATAATACCGTTAAATGCACTTCGGGTATAATTACATTACCCCTGTTTTGGGGAAATATATGGGCAATGTCAGATAATATTTATGACATCTGGTTTTGGAGAACACTACCTACAACATACAATAGAACTCATGAAAGTCTCTTGTCTCTCTCCAACTTATGTAATTCTACGTTTTATTCATTTCGAATTATATATCTCATATTCAATGTCCCACATTTAATTACAAGGGAGAGAGTGTGGTGCTTTTTTAAGAAAGACAATACATCTGATCTTTACCTGATCAACAATGTCGTCGTTGTCAGCATAAAACGATGTGAAGTTGACTGTGGGTTCCATGGAATCGAACATTCCATAGACGGAGCTGCCATCTCTTTCATCGTCTTTGAACTTGGTGACCGTCATCTGATTCCTCGACCAAGAAATAACTGGTTCGTTACCTTTGTCCTCAGGGATAAGCACTTTCGTCATTCCATCCAGGTGGATTCTGGGAGAATACAGTAAAAACAATGAATATCTAGCTAACTTACATTTATATTTATATCACATCATGCCCTGTTATGGCGCACAATTCTCAAACCTTACTGTAATTCTCATGTATAGTTATTTTAACACTGTGGTACCTGTTGTAATGAAGGGTGTGTGTTATACATGCACGACATAACAGGGTACTGTGGGACGTTCAACACGGTGTGTGTCTGTGTCTGTGTGTCAGTGTGTGTGTGTGTGTGTGTGTGTGTGTGTGTGTGTGTGTGTGTGTGTGTGTGTGTGTGTGTGTGTGTGTGTGTGTGTGTGTGTGTGTGTGTGTGTGTGTGACCCAAGTTCAAGCTGTTAATCAGTGGTCTTGAGGCGAGGGCAGGTGTGAAAATTCACAAGCTTGTAAATAGTGACACATCAAATATAACCTATGTGTTATACATGCACGATCAACCACCATACTGCTGGGACATAACAGGGTACTGTGGGACGTTCAACACAGTCTGTGTCTGTGTCTGCGTGTCAGTGTGTGTGTGTCAGTGTGTGTGTGTGTCTGTGTGTGTGTCTGTGTGTCTGTGTGTGTGTGTGTGTGTCTGTGTCTCTGTGTGTGTGTCTGTGTGTGTGTGTGTGTGTGTGTGACTTGTGGAGAAAATCACCAAGGAGAAAACGGATCAAGTTGCCAAAATGAAGAATTGGTTAACCGGAATCGGTACAGAAAACTGATGAGCGATTGTCAGATACAACGGAGAGAGGTATGAACATGCATTTCCCGTCTCAAGCGAGATTGAAATGCCAGGCCTCTGGCTAACATAATGAGACACAGCAGTGCATTCTGAACGCTTTGGTCTGACCACAATTAACTTCAACTCGTTTCAGTAATGAAGAAGTTTCATGCTTTTCTGGTCTATTTATATCATTTCCGTTTCTTGAAAATATATACAAATTTAGTACACCTTTACACCAGAAGTTCCATTGCATAATTTAATAATGATCACTTCCGGGTTTCAAAAAATGTTTTAAGAAATACGTCATGTACCAGTCACTTTGAAAAAATGTCAAATGTATAAAGCAGAAAGTCTCTGACAGAGATTAATGCTTTAAACACTCAAAGTCCCTGAGAGAAAACAAGTGCAGCGTGAAACTACTAAACAAGCTCGTACCTGTAAGACTTGATTGCCCCAAATTTGGTGGGGTTGTCGTTGTTGTGGAACACGTGATATCTTGGTTTCTCAAAGTTGAACTTGTAGGCTGCATCCATCTCAGTCTGCTTGAGAGATCGCTCATACTTGATCTGGTAGTACTTAGAGTTTGGGTCGTTTGTCGTCTGCGAATTGGGGGAAACGTCACGTGATATGTCAAGCGTCTCGTATCTGTTATTCGGTCCATGAATGTCAACGTCAGCTTTGAAAAGGAAAAGATGGTGATGAATACTGCCAATGGTATTTTCCTTCAGTTGGAAGCCATACGGATCTTCTTTGGGAGTATAGAAGGAACCGAATATGTACCCTGTTGATAGAACTCGAACCTCCATGGCTCCACTTTGGTGGAATATAAAGTCCATCACGTAATCATAGTTTACTACGGTCATGATGCTTCTGAGGACTAAGACATTGTCCTCCATTCCGGAATAGAAGCCACCCTCAACCTGACTGTATGACAGATGTCGACGAAGAGGAAGTCCTTGGTTCAGTTCAAACAGACAGAAGGCTCTCTGGAGAAGAACTGGCTCCTCAGAAGATTCGCCCAAATAGGAGTAGTTAAAGAATGTACTTGTCTCTGGACAGTCCGCACCTGGAACCAGAGATTGAGAGTGGGTGCCAATAAGAGCACCACTATCAATGTAATCAGCGCTACGTGTAGCAGAGTTGTTGGAAGCATAAAAGACAGCTATCTCCTGCAGACCGACTTCATATGCAATCCTCTCATTGTTGAATCGGATGTCATAAATTTGTGGACCACTTAAAGTGGACATTCTGAAGTCGAAGGCCCACTGCATGTATTCCACATGACGGTGGTGTACACTGTATCGCTTACCGTCAGGCTCATACATTCGGGGAGCTCTCTGTGGTTTTATCGGGACAGGGTTACCTCTCCTGTGTAAGGAAGACTTTAAATCTTTGACGTTTTTTGGGAATGGTATCTTGGATTTTGGGATTGATCCAGCTCTGTACTGAGTGGCGAGATCATCAAGACTGGCGTACTCCTGGCCTGCATATACCAGCTTCTCAATGAAGTATTTTGTAGGGTCTTGAGAATCAATATTAGCAAGCATCAGGAAATCAACAGGATTTAGGTCATAATATTCAATAGAGTGACTTGTTGTGAACCACATCTTCCTCACCTTAACTTGACTTACTCCAGTCCCTACAGGCGCTGGGTAGAAATTTAGGCATCTGTCTCCACAGTCTGAAAATGTGGCACCATAACTCTCCTTCAAAATAAAACCAATCTTTTTGTCTATCTCTGGGAACATTTTCAAGTAGTATGACCCAAATTCGACATATCCTACCGGCCTGTAGGCATATGGAACAGGATTTTTACGTCCTGGAACGCTTAACAATTTGCAACTGTTGGGATTTGGGAGAGGACCAACAATATATTCTTCTGACACGGGAGGGACAGCGTCACCTCTGAAGATCACTATTCGAGCTTTTCTTTCTGGTTTAGGCCCAGAACCACTTAAGTAGGCCAGAGCTTCTGATTTCAAAGGTGGATGAAGATCTGACACATATATGTAGCTAACATTGACTGCAGCTTTATCTGGCTTTTTGAGATTTAACTGCATCTTCAGGCTGTATAGATAGTCCTGGATGGCTTTGAGTTCCTTCACGGTAAGGTCATCATACAACCCAGGGTCCTCTGCCTCTGATGTGTCAATATCGGGCTTCCCAAAACTTTCTCCACAATCATCAGCCGCCTGGCGTTCAAACCTCCTGTCCTTCATCATGGAGACAGCAATAAGAGCTACGACTAAAGCCAGGGCAATGAGAAACAAGGCTATAGCAGCACAGCGCCATCTACCGATACTCCGTCGATATTTTTCCTGAAGTTCAGTCATGACGTCAGACCTGAAATATGTAATGTATTTTATCAACTTTTATGAAACAAAGACCAAAAGGTAAGAATAATCGTTACCCACAGACCAGTTCTCACACATTGAATGATCCTGTCCTTTTAGGCGATTGGGAGTGAATGGATATTGCTTAACGCTTCATCAGTAATTTTTCATCATTCATGGCAAGATATGTCTTTACCTTAGACATATGTTAATAAAGTAACAAAACCCTTTCCCCATGCAGTAGAAATCTCAGCATAAAACGAAAAAAACACGGGAACAAAATAGTGAATTGCATCGGACATAATTGTTTTCACTGACGTGTCAAATTTGGAAATGTCCTCCACATGTCTATCATGAAACATTTTGAAAGCTTTACTGAGGCCTTTAGTATTGTAACCTTGATCAAACAACTGAGCAAGAGTCGAGAGACGCTCTTTGAAATCTTGGTAGGATGAGCATGTTCCATTGTATCTCAAAAATTCCGAAATAGCGAATCTCACCCGGGTGTCTTTTAATATCCAATATATCAACACTCTTTTAGAAAAGTGGAAAACTCCTTGGCAAGGCTCGGAGTTTTTCCACTGTTATCAACGAGTGTTGATATATTGGATATCAAAAGACACTTGGGTGAAATTTTATTTATCATCAAACATCATTCTTCCAACTTTTTCAGTTTGAAGACAGTTATAAGCAGTGTCTTTAGTGTAAAAAGTACTGCCAACAGCTTTAGTAGCAGAACCATTAGTGAGCAGGGTCATTTGATTATGACGTCATGGTCACCAAAGATGTCACAATGGTCTTCAAATGTAGATATCACTTGATCTCACACAAACGATATCTTCTATGGGGGGCGGTCGGGTAGCCTAGTGGTTAAAGCGTTCGCTTGTCACGCCGAAGACCCGGGTTCGATTCCCGACATGGGTACAATGTGTGAAGCCCATTTCTGGTGACCCCCGCCGTGATATTGCTGGAATATTGCTAAAAGCGGCGTAAAACCATACTCACTCACTCACTCTTCTATGGGAGCCAGTTTTGGATGATAAATACAAACACGAAAGGCTGGAGCTGCTGGAATATTGCTCAACATTAACAGAAAGTTGACTGGTTGAAAGTTGAAGTCATCCCTGAATATAGATACGTAACGGTCAAGTTTGTCATATGGGACAGTGGTGAACAAAGTTGAAAAATCAAATGTTTTGACCAAATGGAACTTGTTTTTTTTCTGAGATGCAAGCAGTTCAAGCAACTCCTTTTATTTTTTGAGACCTGTTTCAAATACTTTCTGTGAATATAAAACAAGTCCAACCTTGATCGTATTATTACCATGTACAGAGGGACAGGAGGGACAGAAAATTCAAAGATATGAATATAAAAAAGGAAAAGATCAGGTTTGTTGGCCTGCATACGTCTAAGGCCATATACAGGTCTATTCCAAATAATTTTGTATTTATCATTATTATTATAATGTACAGATTAAAAATAAAACAATCAGGAACAAGGGTCTGGGTGATCCTGGCACAGTCCGGTTGGTTAGGCTCATCATCAGCTCAGGGCACTTGCCCCCTCTACACGCAGCCCAGACAGCGAATGGGACTTCTCCCAGGAAGCGCTGCCAAGTCAAACCCACCCAGAACTTTTCAGAGAATGTGAAAATTCCCCAACACCGCAGCCTTCTGCATTACCAAGATTGTCAGAAGGGCTATATGTCAGTCAACAGATTGGGAGGTACCAATCCTAAGGCACCAAGAACAATGGGGAGTCGGATAACTTGGTACTTGAGATGCAAGCGTGACATTTCGAAAGCGAGGTCTGCAAATTTGCCATTTATTTCCTGAATCTTGTCAATCACATTAGTGTCAAAAGGGACAGAAAATTAAATGATATGAATTATTTCATTGGATTTATCAAAAAGGACAAGATCAGGTTTATTGGTCTGGATACGTCTAAGGCTGTATACAGGCCTATTCCAAAGGATTTTGTATTTATCATTTTCCATGATGCCCTCTACATATTCAGGGTTGTACCATGGGTTGACCTCTGTGTCAAAACCACAAGCATGGCGAAGACGGTAATAAAATGATCGAGCTACACCATCATGCCGTTTAAGATACTGTGTTTGTGCCAAAGCTGGGCATCCACTCACAATGTGCTGGACAGTCTCATTAAATTCATTACATAATTTACATTTCATATTTACATTTTGATGCAAAATCTGTGGAATGCCTTGTTTTCATCATGCTGCACAAGAGGATCATCAGAAAAATAAATGGGTGCAAAAGTGCACAAAACGATTCTATCATGAAGAGCCCCAACGTTGATCAAACCACGCCCTCCCTTTATGATTGGTAAATAAAAGCGATTGAGGGAAGAGCGAGGGTGATGTGATCTATTGTCTGACATGATTCTTAGTGTGAGGATGTCAATATCCTGAATTTCTTGTTTTGTCCAATCATCAACACCAAAAGAATATGAAAGGGCGGCTCTGAACTCCAGAGTTTCTTAAGCCTACATTTGTACTCTGCTCGAAGTTTTTCCTTTATATTGGCATTCTGGAGTTTGTCCCTTATCTGCATCCAAAAGTACGTCTAGACCTGACTTTCCACGAGATGGTCAATGACTCCTCCTCTATGTAAACTGACTAATCCTCCCTCTTCTACCTTGCCATGCTTGCATTTGTCGAGTCCAATGGACATGCAGATATCATTAGAAAAGGACTCGACAAGCAATAGATATAAAGAAATATATTGTAATGCCCGTTTTATTTGTCTCATTTGCCTCCACATACAAACTGTCAATGAGCGATGTCCTAAATGTTCCAAGACACAACCGAAGTCCCTTACGGTGAATGGTGTCTAGTTCTCGGACATTTGGTTTACGAGGTGAACCGTAAATGAAGCATCCATAATGAAGTTTAGACTAGATCAATGTTCTATCAAATGTGTGTGTGTGTGTGTGTGTGTGTGTGTGTGTGTGTGTGTGTGTGTGTGTGTGTGTGTGTGTGTGTGTGTGTGTGTGTGTGTGTTAATGTCTGACTAAACTCAAGTTTCAAGCATGGTTTACATGGGTTCAAGGTTAGCCGTTAACATTGGTCTGCAATCATTTGGAACATAGTGTTATAGACGTTGTTGTTTGCTTAAATATATATCCAAATCAGCGAGACCTGACATCCTGATCCTGTTTGTCGCCTCTTACGACACGCATAGTTTACTGAAGACCAATTCTAACCCGGATCTTCACGGGTAATATTGCTCAAAACCTGGAAACTGACTTTCATGCAGTTAGGGTCTAAGCCATTGTTCATAGGGAGAGTCCAACACCAAGTTTGGTGAGACTAAATAATTTTGAGAAAGTGTAACCACAAACATGCGCAGAAGCAGGTGAGCTACACATGCCGACAGCGGTGTCAAATTACACCAAACCTTAGCTTTATTATGATCAAATGGGCGCCATTCCAGTATTTCGAGACGGATTACAAACGCTCTGTTGATGTGGGCGATTATGTGCAGTATGAACAACTGCTGCTTGTCATTGATGAACCTGTCCACCTCACGCGCAGATGGCCTCTGACCATAATTCTTTGCCTTCTTTGCTATATGCAGTAAAAGCGGCGTTAATCCCTACTCGCTCACTCACACACTATCTACAGTGACATGACAGCCCACCATAGTTACTATCGGTCGTAGGCTGTTCTCCTGTTGTATGCGGACCAACCTGCCACTCGTCACTTAAAACGCAAAGCATCGGCCTGGATCCACCAGCTGGCTTTCGCAGTAACCACTGTCAACAGTGCTCACCGGAATTTTCCAGCCAAAACACACACAGCGGCCTTCAATTTGGGGCCATGTCATGGGAAGCTGCAATCAATAACTTCACAGATTGTGGCTAACAAAAAATTGGGAACAAACTACAATGTCTAATCTTTCATTTAAGCTATCACAAGTCACTCAAAACAATTGGCACAGGCTGAACAGCCCATTTAAACAGGGCAGCATAGTCTACTATTTTCCTTCTGGATCATGCTGAGGTCACGTGACTGCAGACACATACGTACACGATAACACACACGCGAAATGAAGGGTATCTGAGGTAGGTAGAGGTTGAGGTTGCTGGAGTTGTAGAGGTTGCTGTAGTGGTAGGGGTTGCTGGAGTGGTAGAGGTTGCTGGAGTGGTAGAGGTTGCTGTAGCGGTAGAGTAAGAGGTTGCTGTAGTGGGACCGGTAGAGGTTGTTGTAGTTGTGGTGGTTGTTGTAGTTGATGTCATGCCGGTTGTTGTAGTTTATGTTGTGGTGGTTGTTGTAGCGGTTGTTGTAGTTGTAGTTGTTGTGGTGGTTGTAGTTGATGTTATGGCGATTGTTGTAGTATATGTTGTGGTGGTGGTTGTAGTTGTGGTGGATGTTGTAGTTGTGGTGGTTGTTGTAGTTTTGGTGGTTGATGTAGTTGATGTTATGGCGATTGTTGTAGTATATGTTGTGGTGGTGGTTGTAGTTGTGGTGGATGTTGTAGTTGTGGTGGTTGTTGTAGTTGTGGTGGTTGTTGTAGTTGATGATGTGGTGGTTGTTGTAATTGATGTGGTGATTGTTGTAGTTTAATGATGGTTGCAGTTGTGTTGATGGCGGTTATAGTTGCTGTGGTAACTGTAGGTGTTGTGGTTGTACACGCCAGCTGTGTGATGGTGTTTTGTGTAATGTAAGCAGGGTTCGATGCATGTTTGAGCAATGTCGACACGATAGTACTACCCACTACATTCCAATTCAAGGCATACATTGAGGTACTCCTTGTCTTTAAAGCACACAGACATGATACTCACGGGTTTACAGCTGACCTCAATATGTTTGTAAACCTGCTCGGCAGATCTGGCAGAGATAAGTAACTGATGTGTGTGGCCGTGCGCTTCTGTGTCGCCCAGACCGGGTATCACAAGGGCGAAGCAGCCAGTGACTGGGCAGACCCTACACGGAGATTAGATTATGTACACATTATGTCTATTGAAACCACAGGCTTTATTTTGATGTGTCATTATTAACAAGCTTGTGAATTTTCACACCTGTCCTCGCCTCAAGACCACTGATTAACAGCTTGACCTTTGGTCACACACACACAGACACACACAGACAGACACACAAAGAGAGACACAGACACACACACAGACAGACAGACAGACACACACACACACACACACATACACACACACACGTCACACACACAGACAGACACACACAGGCACACAAACACACGACACATACACACACAGACACACACACCCCCGCACTGTTGACTGTGAGGGGTTTAACATGAATACCCGAATACCCCACTCAGACACAGTACACTGACCCCGAGGCGACCAATCCTTGTTTTAACCCGTTAATACCGAGCGCCAGGCAGGGCAACAAGAGGCATTATATTTTTATGTCTTTTGGTATGACGCGGCCGGGGATCGAACACATAACTGGTTCATGGAAAATATCAAATACATTTGGCAGTATTTTGACATCTTGAATATTAACATAATTAAACAAGACATACGTAACTATATAATCAGGAATGTCTGTTGACGTATCTGCACGTAGCGTAATACCGGGTTAACCCTGGACGTATACAATACTGGATTAATAGATGCAGGTCGTGTCCTTAACCTTGCCGTCTTGTTAGCTGTATATATGGGAACTGTCTGCATGTTGTGACACAGAATATCTCACTTTAACAGTTAGCCGTAATCAGTTCACGATGTCGTCCAATAAAACCAGCACGCCCTGCTGGTCTGGGGCACAGTGACAACGCGCTACTTGTTTCCACTGCTGGTCGTGTTCCTACATTCAATCTTCCCTTTTGCTTCGAAACATCTCTTACCGTGAAGGTTATACAAAAGGCCTCTGTATGTTGAAAAGTGTTCGAGCTATATGTTTCACACATGCTAATAAAATATATCAATTGTAGAAAAGTTTGACAATATAGAGACGAATAAAATTGTATTAATAACGAGGATCGTATCAACAATTTGGCATTTACTGGTGACACAGTTGCCGGAAAATGTGCTATTATCGCAACAGGGTGTGCGGGTAACAATGTGAGGTACTTACATACACGCCGCACTGAACACCTGGGATGTTGGCAGTCGGTAATGGATGTGTAGCATTGTCTGTAGACCGCACGTGGTGTTGGCAGGGTGCAGATTATGTATACAAGAGCATCTTGCGACTAATCCTGATTTATGTACACAAGAGCATCTTGCGACTAATGCCGGATTCATGTATACAAGAGCATCTTGCGACTAATCCTGATTTCATGAACACAAGAGCAACTCTTTGCTAATGCCGGGTTCATGAACACAAGAGCATCTTGCGACTAATGCCGGATTCATGTATACAAGAGCATCTCACGACTAATGCCGGATGTATGCCACAAGAGCATCTTGCGACTAATGCCGGATTCATGTATACAAGAGCATCTCACGACTAATGCCGAATTTATGTACACAAGAGCATCTTGCAACTAATGCCGGATTCATGTATACAAGAGTATATTGCGACTAATGCCGGATTCATGTATACAAGAGCATCTTACGACTAATGCCGAATTTATGTACACAAGAGCACATATTGACTAATGGCGGATTTATGTATACAAGAGCACATCTTGGCTAATGCCGGATTCATGTATAGAAGAGGATCTTGTGACTAATGCCCGATAAATGTATACAAGAGGAACTTTCAACTAATGCCGGTTTATGTATACAAGAGCATCTTTCAACTAATGCCGGATTTATGTATACAAGAGCACATCTTGGCTGATGCCGGATTCATGTATACAAGAGCGTCTTACGACTAATGCCGGATTCATGTATACAAGAGCGTCTTACGAGAAATGCCGGATTCATGTATACAAGAGCAACTTGCGACTAATGCCGGATTCATGTATACAAGAGCATCTTTCAACTAATGCCGGATTTATGTATACAAGGGCACATCTTGGCTGAAGCCGGATTCATGTATACAAGAGCACCTTGCGACTAATGACGGATTTATGTATACAAGAGCATCTTTCGACTAATGCCGGATTTATGTATACAAGAGCATCTTTCAGCTTATGCTGGATTTATGTATACAAGAGCATCTTACAACTAATGCCGGATTTATGTATACAAGAGCACATCTTACAACTAATGCCGGATTTATGTATACAAGAGCATCTTACAACTAATGCCGGATTCATGTATACAAGAGCATCTTTCAGCTTATGCTGGATTTATGTATACAAGAGCATCTTACAACTAATGCTGGATTTATGTATACAAGAGCATCTTACAACTAATGCCGGATTTATGTATACAAGAGCATCTTTCAGCTTATGCTGGATTTATGTATACAAGAGCATCTTACAACTAATGCCGGATTTATGTATACAAGAGCATCTTACAACTAATGCCGGTTTATGTATACAAGAGCACATCTTGGCTGATGCCGGATTCATGTATACAAGAGCGTCTTACGACTAATGCCGGTTTATGTATACAAGAGCATCTTTCAACTAATGCCGGAGTCATGTATACAAGAGCACATCTTGGCTAATGCCGGATTCATGTATACAAGAGGATCTTGTGACTAATGACGGATTCATGTATACAAGAGGATCTTTCAACTAATGCCGGTTTATGCATACAAGAGCATCTTTCAACTAATGCCGGATTCATGTATACAAGAGCATCTTTCAACTAATGCCGGTTTATGTATACAAGAGCATCTTACAACTAATGCCGGATTTATAAATACAAGAGCACATCTTGGCTGATGCCGGATTCATGTATACAAGAGCGTCTTACGACTAATGCCGGATTCATGTATACAAGAGCGTCTTACAACTAATGCCGGATTTATGTATACAAGGGCACATATTGGCTAATGCCAGATTCATGTATACAAGAGCATCTTTCAAATAATGCCGGATTTATGTATACAAGAGCGTCTTACGACTACTGCCGGATTCATGTATACAAGAGGATCTTGCGACTAATGCCGGATTTATGTATATAAGAGCACCTTGCGACTAATGCCGAATTTATGTATACAAGAGCACCTTGCGACTAATGCCGGATTTATGTATGCAAGAGCACCTTGCGACTAATGCCGGATTTATGTACACAAGAGCACCTTGCGGCTTATGCCGGATTTATGTATACAAGAGCATCTTTCAACTAATGCCGGATTCATGTATACAAGAGCACATCTTGGCTAATGCCGGATTCATGTATACAAGAGCATCTTGCGACTAATGCCGGATTCATATATATACAAGAGCACCTTACGACTAATGCCGTATTCATGAACACAAGAGCACATCTTCGCTAGTGCCGGATTTATGTACACAAGAACACACGATTTATGTATACAAGGGTATCTCTTGACTTATGTCTCGACTTAATATCATGACCGTCCAACTACCGCCCACACCACCACTACCATTCTCTCTACTACTAAGATAAGAGATAAGACTTTATTATCCCAAGCGAAATTTATATCGCACAGATGTTTAGCACTGAAATATGAAAAAAAGAAAATATATGATATTCAAATATATACACAAGAAAATACGATACTTACTAACATAACCACGGGTAAACACATGTAGAGAATTGAACACTATCACAGTGACGACAAGGAATGGTATTAAAGTATATGTTTATTAGTATTTAACAGATAATCATTTAAAAGACTAATACTGGCTGGCATGAATGGTTTCCGGGCTCTGTTTGTTTTCAGCATCGGTAGACACGGATATTCGGAATGAAGTATATGACTGCTGTCATTTTGTATCTTACGCGCCTTTTGAACAATTTGCTGCTCATGAATTTCGCCGATGTGTTGAAATTTGATTTTGTTTGCTGTATTAATTTTTTTTGTAGTTTAGATTCATTTTTAACAGACAGGCTCACATACCAGCAGTTAACATTAAAAACAAAAATGCTCTGAATAAATGTTCTATAAAACAGAGAGAGTATGTATTATCAAGTTTAAGAAACCTAAGACGCCGTAAGAAATACAATCGCTTTTGATCTTTCTTATAAATATGTTCCGTGTTAGCATTCCACGTGAGTTTTAAATCAATAATGAATGGTGCTAAGATACTTATACTGTTCAACCAAATCAATATTTGCGTTGTCAATAATAACAGGCGGAGATTTGGGTCTTCTTCTTTTCTGAACTCTATAATCATTTCATTTGTCTTTTTAATTTTAGAGTAAGAGAATGAATCTTGCGATATTGGACAAATTTTGAAATTTGGGAGCGATAATCAATTTCAGACAGTGTTATGAATCCGGCCAGCGCTGCCTCGTCTGCAAACTTAACGGTAGATGTAAAGGTCACAGATGATTGGATACAATTTACAGTCTCAAATTGTAGTCTGTTTACAAGAAAAGATTCTATCCATTTAATCATTGTTGAATTAACAGACATGTTAAATTATTTTTGCATGAGTGAGTGAGTGAGTAAGTACGGTTTTACGCCGCTTTTAGCAATATTCCAGCAATATCACGGCGGGGGACACCAGAAATGGGCTTCACACATTGTACCCATGTTGGAAATCGAACCCGGGTCTTCGGCTTGACGAGCGAACGCTTTAACCACTAGGCTCCCCGACCGCCTCAATATCTTTGCATGAGCAGATAAAGTTGTATAAACTACTATCCTTACTATCACTTTCTATACCACCGCCACTACCATCCTCACTACCCCATCACCTACACCAGCACCACCATCCTCGCTACACCATCACCCACACCACCACACACACCACCACACACACCACCACTACCATCCTCACTACCCCATCACCTACACCAGCACCACCATCCTCACTACCCCATCACCTACACCAGCACCACCATCCTCACTACCCCATCACCTACACCAGCACCACCATCCTCGATACACCATCACCCACACCACCACCCACA